TTGTTCAACGAAGACAAACTGATAGCTGATCTTGCAGAATGAAGAGCAGCTGGCTATAAAAAGGAGCCGGTGTCCTTTGCGATGGTTTCATTTGCGTATTCTAGCGAGTAGGTCACGCAAATTAAAGGCTTATCACAAGAGTAATCGATGTGTTATTTTCTTGTAGAGAAATCTAAGTATAAAATAAGCAAATCCCTCATTGAAGTCTTTGAGCCAACTAGAAAACATTGATCACTGAAAATTTTTACTCCCCTCGATTGAGAAAATACTCTTAACATCTGACGTCAAATATTGCGAAAGTGAGAATACTATGTTTTGCAAAATAAGCGAAAATTATTCGTTTTTATTTCTTGTTCCATTTTGTTGTACTTTCGGTTATGGTATATTTAAGTTAAGAGTTTTTAATGTATTCTGAACAAGTTTCGTCCTAAGCAGTAAACTCTGATCTGGGCTTATTTTTCGTGCTAATATTTGTTTATTTATTTATTTAAGTTATTTTTTCGGTCCAGCTGTTTCATTACATCTGACTTTTCCTACTGTACTTTTATTGACGATTTTATGCTTCATTAAAAGCGAGCTTATTTCTCAGGCGCTACAACCATTTGAAACACGATGTACTTGAGGTCGAAGGCTTAGATTTTTTTGGTATTCGCACAAACGTCTAGCCTTTCAAATCTCATGAAGCTTCACTTATGGTTAAATTGAAATATTAAGAACCTCTAGTCCAGCACCTATTTTTATTGCTTAAAAAAATTGTATTTGCTCATTGCCACACTGCATTAAAGATGTTTTGAAAATGTTTTAAATTCCGCAATTAAACGAGGAAAAAGTAACACTCAGTAACCAGTCCTTTTGCTTAAAAACATTTTGGATTTCTTGCAGCGAGAGCAAGTGTATTTGCTTTTGATTCAATCGAAGAAAAATTCCTTTTAAATATAAAATCATTTCAACACATCAATCACTTAAGATTTTAATAAGAAGAGTACTTTTCGAGAAAGAACCAACGTGATTGATATTTATACAGCTGTCCCATGATTGTCACTTTGTACAGTGGTGGCATAAGTGAAACTAAACATTTTAGCTAAAGTTGACTTTCGTGAGGTACTTAAGAATAAAGATAGAATACAGTTGGTTGACTAGTTTCTTACGGAGTACATTCAAGTTAAAGAGGAGTTTTCCAGGATGATTTGTAAAACAGTGCTCCTTGTCTTATTCTGCATCGCTTCCCAAAAGCTTGTAAAAGGACATTCATGGATGAGCTGCCCCAGGTGAGATTACTTAAAAACCGTTTTTCCGCAAATTTAGAATCTCTTAGTGAGAATGACATTCTTTTTAAGAAAGACCTTATATGATAAATATGACTTACACTGTTGCAGGCCTTTTGACACGTACCCAGACAAGGCTGGAGACACAACGGGACCATGCGAAAAATGGTACAAAGGTGAAGATTCATCTGGTTTTAGTAAAAAAAAAAAGTTAATTTTTAATTCGCTTAGTTTGATCGCAGAATGAATCAAACCTCTCTCTTTTCCGTCTCAAGGAGCTACAACTGACGTGCTGGCCGGGGATCGCCTTAAGGTTCGTCTACTGACCTTGTTCAGTCTCAGAGAAATTAAAAAGAAACTTATTTTTCTGGGTGGATCAGCTTTCTAGTAATTTTACTAGATTATCTCTGCCACAATTAACCAGGTGCTTTCAACACAAAATCCATAGTCATTAGAAGGCAACTTAAAAAATTTCAAAAGACTTAAGTTTAAATGACGAATTTTTTCATTCAATCATTGTGTCAACAAAACTAATTTTTCACTCGTTACCTTTGATGTTTTACTATCGGAGCTCTGCTAACTTTTCCATGACCATAGATGAATAATTTGATTTTTTGGCCTCAAATTCAGTTTGGGAGATGATCATAATAGTAATGGTATTAATTATATTAGTTGTAATGGTATTAATTATATTAGTTGTTATGGTATTAATTATATTAGTTGTAATGGTATTAATAATAGCAATAATGAATATGACCATGAAATAAAACCCAACATGGAAATACTGTTGTACGTTTCCTACAACTTTTTTTTTTGCCGGATTCAGCCGCCAATAAAGGAATTTCTCTGATTTATTTCGTCTATTACAATTGAAATGTCAAAAGTCACATAACTCCCTCTTTCATGCCTCAAATGAAACAGCAACTCCCCCTTTTCTTCCTCTCGTTATTCTTAAGGTTGGGTGGACCTCTAACAATCACGGAGGTGGATATGTGAGACTCGCCTTGGTTCCTGAGAGTCAGAAGGATAGTCATGAAGCTTACCTGAACAACGTACTGAAAGTTGTGTGTTATGGACATGATCAGAGGCCAGGCATGTTCCGCTTTGGTGACTGCAAGCATCCATGCAATGCAAGGCCAGGATGTCAGTACCAATCAGGCAAGTCACTTTGTCGAGATTTTCACAATATAAAGGCAGATGATGCAGTTGATGAATTATATAACTTTGCTCTGAGTACTAGTCGCTAAATGAAAAATTCAACTCTACCAGAGAGAGGCATTAATTGCCTTCAAGGTATATTCAAAAGTTCGAATTCTGGTTTACCATATGTCTGATTGAAGTTTATATTTTATGGCAGACGTACTCGACAATGAGCGATACGATACAACCATTACCATTCCCTTCAACCTTGCTGATGGCATCTACATTCTACAATACAAAGCTGCTATAGGCATCGAGCTAAAGCCCTACTACAACTGTGCGAAGCTTCGTGTCACAGGTGGTGATCCCAGTCTGGATTGTACCACAGATAAGGCTCCACCTGTTGGACCATGTAGACTGGGTCCACCAGGAGCTGGCCTCCCTCTTTCGAACCTCACCAAAGATGCAAAACTTGGAGACTTCTGTTTCCATCCAGATAAGGTCGGTGCAATTGATGACCGTATAAGGGAAGTGCCAATCAACGTAGATTGTGATCCCAGGATCACTTGTCAGGTGTCTGTGTCTCCAGCTGTTTGCAAGCACGAACTTGGCATGGACAAAATTGCTGTAAGTTGCTTATTGTTATATATGGACTTATGTACCATACATCCATCCACTCCTTCACTCATTCTTATGATCCTAAGCCTGTATCCCTTCTAGAGCATCTATCCATCCAGCCAATTATCCATCCATCTCTCATCTCTTGGTTCACTCTATCGCTGGCTATTTCGTACATTTATTTCCTTTCTCTGTCGGTTTGCTCGTTAGTTTCAAAGTTTTATTTGATTTCATTTAATTTTAATCTTTATCTCTTGATTTGAATAGTTAATTTTTAGCTGTGTATCTTTCTATTTGCAGGATGCTTGGGATCCCAAGCAGCCCAACTGTGGTGTAGTCAAACCGCCCCCTCCACCTACTTGTGACGACGGGGTACAAAACCAGGGAGAACATGCAATCGATTGCGGCGGTCCGAATTGTAAAGCCTGTCCAGATGTCGCTGATACCGGTTACGAGGAGTACATAACACTTTCAATTTCTTCGTGACAGCATTGAAAATGATCAACAGTTTCATTGGTGTCGAACTCTCTTAAGCAAAATGAATATCACATCACCATTGTAATTTCCACGTTTGTTTACCTGTGCAACAACAAAAAAATCAACCGATACCACAATTTTCGAATAGTGCCGGTATTCTTTTGAGTGTGGGGTCTTGTAATTTTTATGGCAAGGGAGGACAGTTTAACTTGCCAAAGGAGAGTGCAATACACTTACCTGATTGGTGAACAGTGAAAATCTTGAGTTTCCCTCCGCAGCCGATAAAAATGCCATTTTACAACCGGAAGATTCAAGCACTGTACCGTTTTGTTTTGTTTTGTTTTAGGTACATCGAACATATAATCGACAATGAATGGTGCTCGGGATACGTAGTCACAGTCCTCGCGAAGATTAAGAGGTTTATGAATGGAAACTGGCAGGTGACGATCTTCTACGATTACCCACTGGAGATTGTGTCGCACTGGAACGCCGTGCTCGTCTCCCACAACAAATTTAGTAAGTAGCAATCTAGGGGTGTTTTTTACTTCTTTGATTTGTCGAATATTCATTTTAAGATTAATGATATCGAGTTTATTTAATGATCTTTTATTTATAGAGGACTTTAAGTTATTTCAACCAAGATCACATCACCAGCTCTTAAACTGTTGGAATTATTCTCGAGGAATCTCGGCAAAAGTGTTCGTTTAGCTCAAGATAGCTTATCAGTCCTCTTTTAATAAGCTTGCACCTCCAGTAATACATCGATAGGGCTGCCACCAATTTCCATAGAAATGTAATAGTACCCATGAAATACTCGAGTTGATTATCACAGGAGGTCACTGGAATTATAGACCAAGTGACATTAACGCTGGCTCTCCTTTTAAGAGCAAACTTTTCTTCCATAGAGACAATCTACTCGTTTCAAGGATTTGCGTGGAACCAGTATCTGCAGAACGGAGATTTTATTGAGTTCGCTTTCGAAGGACATTTTACTGAGCAGAGGTCAACACCAAAAACTCTCCTACTGGAATGCTACCAGTGCCAGTCTTCCCCAAGTAGCCTAAGGGCATTCGCATTGAAACCGAAGACTTGCGAGGTGGGTTGCGTTGCAAGTCATGCTATAGAATAGGTCGGCGTCATGTCATTATCATAGGGTCAACTTGGCGTATCTAATTTTGACGTGAAGGAACTCGCAAAAATCATGCAAGCTTTTCTATAAGTGTCAATGAATCTTTTCCTAAATGGGTCTCCTCATTTAAATTTGTATTACCTTATTTAACAGCGTAAATAAATCTAGGGTCGATTACAGAAATACTCACTGTTTCAATGCTTGTCCTTCTGTTTTGTTTTGTTTTTGTGTGTTCTTTTTTTTCAGTCCTTCGATCGCCCCTCAGGTTTCCAATGTGAGGAAAGGCGAAAATCTCTATGTTTTGTTTTTGTGTGTTCTTTTTTTTCAGTCCTTGGATTGCCCCTCAGGTTTCCAATGTGAGGAAAGGCGAAAATCTCCATGCACGGAATATCCGTGCACCCAAGCACGCTGTATTCCTTCTTCATTGAAGTGTATGTCACTTATTCATATTTGATGAATATTTGTGATCCCCGTATATTTTATTGTTCATAACTTTTTAAAATTGGATTTGTACTTAGCAATGCTATAAAGGAGCGGTATACTTGAACGTACAAGTAATCTATTCACTAGCACGTTGTTTAATTCCACCATTGCTGATCCAAAAATGGGGAAGGCAAATAAACTTAGCTAAAAATCACCCAGATGACCATTGCCTTGTCGGTCGCTCAGTATTAGAGCATCGGTGCGCTATTATTTGACTCCGAACACAACCCATGCCACCTTTTTTTATTCTTATCAATCCAATCAAATTGATCAAAATAATGTAGGTTTCTACGAAGAGAACTTTCGATGATGAGTAAGTTTGCTAGATTTGAGATTTATTAGCCCCTAACTGCAGGACAAAACTAAAAAAAGAGTAACGTTGGAGAGCTTTAAACATTTAGAGTTCGATTCCTCACCTCAAGACAAAGGTTCCGCAATGCAACATTTTTAATATAAGTCTATGATTCTTGGAGAGCTTCCAGTCTGGCTCATCACACCCTTGGCCCCTCCATCAATCTATTTCGCCATAATTTAAGTCAGCAATGATATGGCTAACTGAAAAGTTGATCCTTCTTTCTTTCAGGAACCCCCATTTGAGGGAGGAAAGCTTCGAATTCATATTTAACTTGGGATTCAAGGGAAAATAATAAAGAAAAACTGTTTGAATGATGACTGATGTTGTGCTTTTATTTATATAGTTCTTGAGGTTGGTGCACTAAAACGTGCAGAAGTCAGGTGCCTTGTGCTGCTCATTTATTGCACAATCATTGAAAATATTTTGAGCTTTTAATACTTGAGCCAAAATAAATATGAAAATAGTATATTTTGCAAACTGCAGCGTGAGGATGCGTACGTTCAAAAGATTTAGATTTCTTTTTATTTTACCACGGACTAAAAAAAGGAACACATTTTAACTCCTGAGCGTAGTATGGCATGTCGTGAAATCAAAGTTTAAACTAGATGGCTTGTGCTTGTTCAAGCTAGCCATACATTTAGCCTTCTACCTCTCCCCTTGGGAGTTTAATTTGATCGTTAATTATATTTACTCTGTGTCGATGTATGCCCTATGAAGCAAATAACTTACGCATGTAAGTCGAGCTAACGAAGTAACTCTCTTCGTGGCCGAAAACTTATATCAACTTCTTTATCACTCATCGAGCAAGAGTATCGCTACCCCTTCTGATCCACTGCAACTGCCTGCTGAAAACAACTCGTTAGCAAGTTTCCCTAACTTTACACTGGTGCCCAAAAATAACGTCATCGAATACGTTACGAGTTCCTGAGGCGTAGTGAGTTTAAAAATTCATTCTGCCTATAAGAGTCAATAAATAGAGAAAAAAGAGAGAGAACTTATATATGTTATTCGTCAGCTGGGAGGTCTGTATTGGGAAAAACTGTGCCCGACGTCTTGAGTACATATTTTTGTTAAATTTCAATCGATGAATACA